AATCCTAAGTAGGATCTTGACTAAGATCCTAATTGACCAGGAACAGGATCCTAAGTAGTTTCTTACAAGATCTTGAATAAGATCCTAATGTTATCTTGACCACTTAAAACCTTGAGTATATTTAATTTAGAAATTATAAGTCTGAGTGATAGTTATTTTTGTAAGTTCTTGTAATAATTGCATGAGCCTTTMAAATGCTCTTATTGTGTTTCTCATGACCAATCTGAATCAAGTAATATTATATTATTGATTTATGGAGATTGATTTAGTTCCTCTCTGTCAACGTAACACCCGTTTTGCACAGACATCTTTTTGTGAATAAAGTTATTATTATAAGCAAATTACTGTCAAGTGCAATATGATCAAAGTAACAGATATATCATTATACCTGTTGAAATGGATTTTAATATTGTTTATTCTCTGATAACCTAAAAACAATGTGATACAAAATAGTGCTGGAATTATCACTAGTAGTCATGTCCGTGACTGAGTCATTCAAGAAGGGACTAAAAGCCTACTTATTTAATCAACAGTTTCTCTTGACTGGTTTATAGATTGACATTGATTATAAACAATATTATATAGACAATAAGACACAAAGTGATTTAAGAAAGTTTAAAGAATTCTATTTTATTAGATTTTTTGAATGGACACTGCAGATTATGAACACTCCTTATATTATATTTCATTGTAAAGCACCTTGAAGTTATGATGAGTGCACTATATAAGTTTTTATTATTTTCAAAGAAAATTATAAAGAAGATTATTTAAAAAAAACATCCTGGCCAATATTACCCTCGCTGATTTACCAGTCTGGTTACTATGATGTTTTGACAATGTGTGGACAGAGTGTACATATAGTCTGTATTTATYGAGCACACAATAACAAAAATTAATGGTGGAATAAACATTAGTCGACGCCATTACTGTAGAAAAACTTTGTATTTATATTTGCCCCCTACCAAAATGGCAGCCGTATCGTCAAAGTAGTCCACCAAGACTGACTTAATGGGTTTATTATACGGTGATTAATTAACACAAGACTCATGTCATAAGGATGATACAAGCAGGTCGGTTGCATGTACGAATAGCTGTTTCCAAAGTTATAGCATCTAAGTCAGCCTTTATCATTTATATCAATTCAAACAAGAAGAAGCCAGCTTATTCATTTGATTTTGCAACMTAAGTACCAAAAAATACTAATCATGCTGGTAGCTTTTCAAAGTTGAAGAGACATATCCATCAACACCAGCATCATTGTGCTCCACATACACAACTTTGTTGTTTATGGCAGTACACCTTATAAGTTTCATCCTTCTGGTGAAACGTACACCAACAAAGTGCTGTCCCAGAATGCCTGAGGCCCAGAACTCATGGATGACAGGATCTTGTGGAGGRGGCAATCCACTGGAACAAATGTTTAAACCAGTAGTCTGCAGAATCCGTATCACAGCAAACCCATCATTGTTGCAGYCCTTTAGAAAGTATTGGACTTCACCATAGGATGTGGTAACATCTTGTTCAGACTTTAATGCAACCAAATAGCTGGCTGATTTCCCCTTCTTTTTGTAGCACAAGCTGTGGTAAATTTGGCTACCCTTAGCCATTCTTTGTGCAGCAAACACAGGCCTTTCATCATCAAAGTACCCTTCAACTGGACCCTCAACTTGTGGAATTTGCTGCATCAGTGGATGGAAAAGCTTGATGCCTTCATTAATTTGGACAAGGTTTGAAGGATCCATTAATTTTTCAACAAATCCACTTGCTCCATCATTGCTGCTTGTGTTTTGCCTTATATACCTCTTTGAATGTTGGGCAATGGCAAGTCTCTTGCATATTTGTTCAGGTATTCCYCTTGTTCCATGAAACATGCGTTTCAAATGAGCTAACATGGACTCAAACACAAAGGTTGAGTGGAGAATTAATGGCCCATGCTCCCTCACTTGTTGTGGCAAGTGAGTTAAGGCATGAGTGTTATATGTGCATTCTCTTMTATTAAAGAGTTTGGGTAGGCAACGTGTATAGCTAGAGATCATAGCATCTGCTATACATATATCACTTTCAGATATTGTGTYACTGCACAGCATCCTGATACTAGTGACTAGAAGGCTATGATGATAAAAYAACTTTGGTRGAAGRAGTGCTTTGAATATGGGAAGGCCAGCATGTAGAAACAGTACTTGTTTTTCGCTTGCTTTCCATTTGTTGAACTCTTCCATTGGTCTGAACTTCCGTTTGAAGTCATGAGGCAGCTTAAGATTCAGGAGGTTGCTAGTAATACCTCCCAGGGCACTTTTAAAGSAGGTACCACTTGGGCATTTTCCATTGAGCCACTTGGATAATCTTCTTGTGTACTCCCCTTCCAGAACTTGATGCATGTAGTCGAACAACAGCATCTCTGGAATTTGCAAGATTTTATGCACTGGRGATGATCCTTTAATTCCRAAAATGGCTTCTCCTGATAGGTCAGCCAGCTCTGCATGTCTTATTGAGTCAGCATGATTTCGTCTTCGAAACTTTCGGGGTAAGTAGACTCTTAYATTTCCACGACAAGGTAGTTTAAGCCCAGGATGTARGCAATCTGAGCAACCAAATTTGCCACAAAATATTTTAAAATTAATAGACGGTCCTTTAGCCATAAGATCTGCTGCCTGGCCATTGACACTGAGCATGAACTTTTGCTCTGGATTCACTTCCGCGAAGAAGCCATCTTGCAACTCCTTAGCTTGTTGAACAAATTGTTCTTGAAATACGGACATATTTGGTTTCTTCCTTCCAAACCACAATCCAGACAAAATTATATTCTTATAAGAATATCGAATGTTCAGTGGAAGTTCAGCAACAAAACTTTGGATTGGCCAAATAGACACAGACTTGGACTTAAGAGCTGGTGCTCCATCTAGATGCCAATAAAGGGATACAGGGAAATTTCCATCCCGCTTAATGTGTGCACTCTGGTTTTGATAAACTGATCCATCAATGACATCTTTATAGAAACCAGGCACATGGACATAGTTTTGTAGAAAGTTTCTCATTGGGATCCAGTTTTCTAAAGACAAAATTAGAACAGAAATATCATTAATTATAGCATTAATTGGACTCGTGCGAGTGGGACTCTTGCAATAAGGCAAAAGATGTATCACACTGAAGTTCTCATCCTATTGCAGTTGCTTACTTATCAGGTTGACTTTACAAACTGAACAGTATGAAAGTCTAAACACATATTATTATAAGAACAYCTCCAACAGTTATTCAGTTTTTTATCAACACAATGCACCGTACTGGTTCAGCCTACAGCAGCAGAAGAGATCTCTTGTGTCCAGTAATGAGGTATTTCCTTGCTAGTATCAAGTGGAATCTCGTTTTAGAATATGCGCTTGAGCAAAATTAGGTCCTTCTCTAGTTGAAGTCGTCAGAATTCGCTAAAAGATTTAAATCATTCCATCCGCGAGCTTGATATCTTCAAAATTTTTTACCCGGCAACTATACCGGTAGTTTTCAACTATACCGGTAGTATCTTTTGAACGCTCATTAGATCTAGTATATTTTGAAATCTGTAGCAATTGCTGTTATTACAGTTGCTCATTAGATCTAGTATATTTTGAAATCTGTAGCAATTGCTGTTATTACAGTTGAATGCAAATGAAAAGAAAGTCTTTTGTTTTAAGGATCATTCAAGCGAGGCTATCAGGTTAATACAATGCAAAAGGCATCATTTGCATCTCATTCTGCATTCAACCGTATTAATAGCTGTTYCATTGTTCTMGATCTCRCACGTTATTGGCTGATTTGTGAGAAATTTGTCTGGGTGGCTTTGGTTTGAGTAGTCGCACTGCACTTTGCATGTTGCATATTGCTTACTCCACTTGAAATGTAGAATATCTAGATAAAATGTCAATGTAGAAGAAACAGGAGTAGAGTGCAGTCAGTAAACCCGTGAAATATGCATAGTTATATAGCCATACATGCAGGCAACTACTGCTATTTGATGCAAGATGTGTCACACGATTAGCTGTATTACTTGTGTTTATGCGTACTTAAGGTTAGAATATATATTATATTTTATGGATTTACTGACTGCACCCTACAAAGCTTGAGAAAATTGCATATCATTTTGAATTTTTGCTGATTCATCTCACAATGCCCATATATTGATGCATTTTAGCCTATTTTCTTATGCAATATACTACATGCAAAATCAGAGGGGACTGTAGCAAAGCTTCTAAGTGGTCATTATTAACTTTACCCTAAAAGGCCTATGTGTGATAAAGTCAACACCTGCAACATTTTTGAAAGCACTCAAACACTTTGAAAATGGCCTACTCTGATATATGTGTATATGGATGCAGAACATTGGGAATATCTATTGACAATAAATTATCATTGTGCCAATATTCTAGCTTACAGCGTAGACTAATTGTCATTATGAGGACTATTCGTATCCACCCTAAATCACATTTATAAGACCCTTGGACCAAAATGGCCCTTCTGTAAATYATCATGAATGTGAGGCCCACACAGGAACAGAAGAGAAATGCAACACCYACAAAAAAATTGTGATTTTCCCTGCACTCTCATGCCAGCCCCTATTCTCCCTCACAGCCCTCCCTTTGTCGTCACAMAACGTCACAGTATTTAAAATAAAAAAAAACCCGTCAGTATTGATTCTTGACTTACCATTTATCAGTGASTTAAGTTCAGGCAGCAAATTGATTACATAGAAGGTACTTGAATCTTGTCCTTTTGCATTTTCACCCCTTTGATTACAACCATCTTTTACACAGCGATCATTTTCAAGGRGGCTCTGGCAATTCCAACATGTTATAAGCTTTACATAACTGTAGCCAATATCATCGAGGGATTTATCAAACATGTAAGAGGAAGTGGGGCATTYGTTTCCTTCAGGCAATGACAATCTTACGAGCTTCAAGATGTTGTCTACAGCTTTAGAAGAAAGATTGTGTTTTTGCGTAAGAGCTAGAAAGGTTCCTTTAAAATTATTTCGTGACAGTCTAGCACCTTCATACAGAGGCAAATYATCTGTTCCATCACTATGACTGTCGCTTGAAATTGACGTATCATGGGATAATTCAGAATCTAGTTCGCTTCCACACGTAGACTGACTATTAGAGCTCTCACTGTCACCATCTTCGTTATCTTCATCTCTGGAAAAAACTGAACTAGCACGCTTATTACCTGCAGAAATTTCATCATAGTCACTTCCAGGGATTCCAGAATAGGAAGTTTCAGATGCTTCATACGCTTCAATACTTTCTTGACTGGTACAAATATTTTCTGAATAATTACTGTTGATGTAGCGGTTGATATTGTAGTTTAAATCCTCTTCAGCTATAGTAACATTTACGGGGTTGTTTTCACTGATCGTCGAAGCTGTATCTTTACTCTCTTCATTGCTGCTAGATTCATCCTGACTATCACATTCGGAACTTTTATTATCGTTGTCATCACCGTGATCCGAATGGCTGTAGAGATGTTGCTGGCTGTTTTCTTCAATTACGGAAGTTATATCTTCGCCATCTTCACTGCTAGAAACATTCCAGCGCTTGCAAGGATGCCTTAAATACTCATTGAGATCACTTTCTGAGCTTTTATTATCGTGGTTAATATCACCGTKATCCGAATGGCTATAGAGATGTTGTTGGATTATCGAGTGGTCGTCATCATGATGCGAATAGGTATACTCGCTAGAATCTTCTGTATCGACATCAGTTATGTAGCTTTCCTTGGAACTTTCACTATTCATATGATTTCCCGAGTCTCACTCTGTTATTTCACTATTTTTGTATCTATGTTTCTTTAAATCTTGCGATTTTTTTGTTAAGCAAAACAACGGGGAAAAGCGATCTTCTTTCTATACGCGCGAAATGTAGCTGTAGACAGTTTTTCGCGGGCTAACTAACGTTTTTGATTGGTTTATGGACTACATAAAAAATCCCCGGATGTTGACTATATATATGAAGATCAACCAGCTGTGGCCTCCCTCGCTTCATTCAACGCTGCATTCCAACGGAGACGTGTGTGTTTAGCTTATTCATTTTTACTACAACCAAAATCAAAATGTCAACAATCCCAACCAGTATGAGACTGCAAAAAAAAAATTGCTTGCTAACAAATTCCCAGGTAAGTCAACTATTTTACAAGTATTCCACGCATTTTACAATATGACGGTTTATTTTCTACTTCTGGCGGGAGGTATCGCAAATATTCGATAAAGCTGAAAGTCGTTTGAAATATGTTATTTTTTCGAGCAACCTAAAAGCAATCGAACTTGTAGAAACTATTCGAAAGCCTTTTGTCTTAATAGGGATTTTTTAATATACTAAATGGCAGTTTACTGTGATAATCGTTGCACGGCGAACCCCACAAATGAGGCATAAAATGGTYCCTCGAGTATCCTTAATGGAATATACTTTTGCTCTTAGATTAATAGCTTTGTTCCCATGTTAAAGTATCTTAGAGAAAATATTTTGTCGTAATCCAAATAAAGAATATTCTAGGTGAAATAAGTTAAGGATTTAGACTAGTCTTTGGATCTCTGTCTTCTCTACTACACGTGATTGCATACGGGCATCGGTTCCTCCCAAAAATTGGAGTTTCATTCTCGTAATAGCTCTTYAAAAAGTATAGATAAGAGTTTTAAAGAAATGTCCTTTGTGAAATTACGGTAAGCTGTAAAATAAATGAAATGTTTAGTTGGAATGGTTCTATAAAACGGTAGTCACGTTTTCACACCTCGGAGTTGTGACAAGAATGTAGGCCGGCTTTATRATGAACGTTAGGCTACTGTAAGATGCCTACAGTTTATACTAGTATTATGATTAAATACCAGACAAATATTTCTCTTTATATTATTGTTAACAGAAGCAAACGTTCCTTCTTCATTTCTTGTGTGGTTCGCGGGAGAAATGAAGTATTCTGTC